GGTATGTGTGTGCCAAGATGTTTGTGGAAGACAGAGGATGGCTTTGGGACATCTGTTCTTTCCTTCCAATGTGGGTGCCATGGATAGAACTTGAAGTTTATTTCGCTTGCACAGACCACATGTGGTTGTTTTCTACGCCATCACACTGGCCAGTTTTGCTCTATTTTAAACCCAGTGCTTCTCTGTAGCATCAGACTTACTCAGTAATAGTCAAGTTGATATCCTACCTGATTACAGATGGGAAAAATCCTGTCAATTAGAAATACTTTGCCTTTGATTAATCCCAATCAAGTAAATGGCATTTAAATTCATCTAAAATGAAATGCAAATCATCTGAGATGAATGGGGCCATCTGGACGACCTAAAGTCACCTTCATGCAGGTGAATCCAATTTGGTTTTTGCTTTCTCGAATTAAAAATCAAATAATCTTATTTTCTCTGTAGCATTTACCATTACTTTATATAAATATTATTTGTTTGTTTACTTGTTCATTTCTTCGTTCCCCTAACTAGAAAATTAACTCCAATGACATCTGGGATCTTAACTGCTTTGCTCAGCGCTGCATTCCTAGTGCTTATAATGGTTCCTGACATATACACTTTCAGTAATGTCTACAAATGATGAGTGTACTGCTATGAACTCTAGAAAAATTAGAAATCATAAATACCACATCTTTCAAAATGTATGACTACTCTAAAGATTGACATTTATATTGATAAAAGGCAAGAGTCAGAGATAAATGAAACTACAAATCATTTGACTAGGAAAAGACAGTCATAGGAAATTTACAATTCCAATCAATGCTTAAATGGTTCCCAAATCTGCTTTTTCCATGATTATTAATTCGGAAATAATTTTGGTTGCCATTCTTGTTTCATTTCACTTTTGAAAACAAAACAAACGGTTCCTTAAGAAAATAACAATTTCTCCATATAGTACTGTAAACAGACATTTCCTGCCCTTACCACCCGGTCCCAAATAACTGACTGAGAGGCTGCATATGAATTATAAATGCTCAGCCAATAGCCCAGGCTTGTTATTGGCTAACTCTTATATTCAAATTAACCCATATTTCTATTCATGCTCTGCCATATGCCAGTACCTTTATTAGCATGGCATGTTCTTCTCCTGCTCCCTCTGCATCTGGCTGCTGACTCCTGACTCCACCCTTCTTCTTCCCATCATTCTTAGTTTGGTCATTCTGCCTATACTTCCTGCCTGGCTACTGGCCAATCAGCATTTTATTAAACCAATTCAAGTGACACATCTTTACAGTGTACAGGAGGATTATTCCACAACACTGTACCAACTCCAAATTAACAGATTTTCATTAGCAGTCTTTTTTCACCTTCCAATGGAGACACCTAAGGTGAGATGATTATATAATGAGAATAAAGTCTTATTTCTGGGTCCTTACTAGGGAAAAGGGGAACAAGTTTCAAATTAGGAAAAATGTAGCTATAAAGAACCAACTGGAAGGCTGCAAAAGCTAGCCTGTCATGTTCATTCTGGTATTTTCACCTAGTTCTTTTTCCCCCCCACTGAGGAATATATATATATATATATATATATATATATATATATATATATAGAGAGAGAGAGAGAGAGAGAGAGAGAGAGAGAGAGAGACAGAGACAGAGACAGAGAGACAGAGACAGAGACAGAGACATACATTCATACATACATACATAAATTCTACTGGGAAAGACATCTTCACATCTGAATTTCCCCATTTCATTGAAAAGCAAGAAATTTTAGGGAAAAGTATTCAAGTGAGGGGGAAAAAATTCTGATTTGAAAATGCCCAGTATAATGGTTAGTATTTTAATTGACAATTTAATTATAAAATACAGCTGAGAAGGGTTTTTAATTTTTAGTCTTTTTTTTTTTTAGTTTTTTAATACTGGAATTTGTAATATTATAAAGATAATTATAATAGCAAAGTTAACAATAATATCAATTACTAACATTTTAGTAACTCAAAATTAACTATAATTTTACTCATTCCTTACATTGATCATATTACAGAGTATGTTAAATAGCTTTTAATCATTATAATTACTGAGATAATAAACTGTTGTGGAATAATCTTTTTGTACACTGTGAAGATGTGTCACTCAGATTGGTTTAATAAAAAGCTGAATGGCTCATAGGTAGGCAGAATTTTCAGAGCAGAGAGGACACTGAGAAGAAGAAGGTGGAGTCACCAGTGGAATAGTGGGAACAGACATGCAAGAAAAGATGTAAAAGCCACACATCACATGGCAACATATAGATTAATAAAAATGGGTTCATTTAAGTTGTAAGAGCTAGTTAGAAACAAGCCTAAGCTATCAGCTGAGTTTTCATAATTAAGAAGAAGTCTCTGTGTCATTCATTTAGGAGCTGGCCGGCAGGACAAAGAAAGTCTAGTAACAAATGGCTCCCAATATCTGGGCAAGTATTTCCACATAAGACATGAGAAGGCTTAAAAAAAGGTTCTGAACACACAAAAATGGAGCCAAATGCGGCTTCCTTCTCCTGCAGTCTCTCCTGAGGGCTGTAGTATAGAGACCCATCTCTCAGTCACGGCCTGCCGGCTTGTGCTGACAGCACTCCACGAGCTAAGCTGCTCATGCAGACAGAAAAGGGTGAGATAAGCCGTAAAGCAAGGTCATATGGAAAACAACAAACAAACAAAACTTTAAACGGTTACAGAGTGTTTAACAACATTTGTAGGCTTAAGAGTGTAGACAGTTATAAAAATAAATAAATAAATAGTTTAAAAATAATAGAGTCTTCAAAGAAAAAGTAAAGTAATTAAAAAAAAAAGAATAAGCCATGTAGAGATGGGAAATACACAGGGAGTCTGGATCATGTATGTTATTGTATTGTCTTTGAATTTTTTTTGATTGCTAATGAACAAATGATAGCTGCTGAGAGACACTGGATTATGGAAATTGCTAAATTAAACCAACCTATATTTTAAATGTCTTAACCTCACAATGGAAGAAGAGGTTATGCTTTTCTTTCCATAAAAAACAAAAGGTTGTGGATTGATTCAAGGTTAATGAGGATCAGGTTTGATCAGGGGAGATGCCCTGAAAATCCTAGTTATAGACATAAAGAAATAAACCTAAAATTACTACAAGACAGGTGACATATATTTTACCTGCTCAAACATAAAACAAAAAATCATCTTTGGCTGGCTTGTTGTGTCTAATGCACAGTCCATACTTGTGTTAATACACATATGTATGTTACCTTTGAAAGTTTTACGTGTTTTTAGAGTCAGGTGACTAGACACCAATAAAAACGTGGTGGCCCAAGTGGTCCAGCCTCTCAGAGTGCCTCTGTTGCAGTTTCCTCAGAGTTCTGCATCCAGAACAGCTTCAAGGATGCTGGCTAAGATGGTCGAGCCTCACAGACTGTTCTAGCCAGGACTTGACCATTACCCTAATTTTCTCAGAGTCCTCCAAAGATGCCAGCACACCCAGACAACAGGAAGCAGTCCAGAGAACACTACGTCCACATTCCCAAGAGATGGATTGGATGGTTTTTGGTCCTTCATTGGGTTATGGAGATTTGTCATCATTTAGTGGGGTTGGTTACAAATTGTTATCGGTCATGATCAGAGAGAAAGTTAAACAAAGGAGATTATATTGAAGGATGTCTTTTTGACTAGAAAAAGGGGGAATATAGTATAAAAATGATGAGATAAAAGGGTGGGTTGTTGAGTTTATTTTTGAACAACCATTAATCTCAAATATTCTACATTGGGATGGATTTTTGTATACTGATACAAATTTAAGGTTACTTTTGTTAGAACATACTGTACATACGTATCTACTCTTTTTTTTTTAAGGTATTGTACCTATGCAGCTTATTTAACAATGTTGCTGTGAAATATTGTTCTGTATGCTGTGAATGTGTGTTGCTGATTAGTTGATAAATAAAATGTGGATTGGCCAGTAGCCAGGCAGGAAGTATAAGTGGGATAAGCAGACAAAGAGAATTCTGGGAAGAGGAAGGCTGAGTGACCAGCCAGACACAGAGGAAGCAGAATGTCAAGGCAGAACTGAAAAAAAGCTACCAAACCATGTGGCTAAATATAGATGATAAGAATTATGGGTTAATTTAAGTGTAAGAGCTAGTCAGTAATAAGTCTGAGCTAATGGCTGAGCAGTTATATTAATATAAGCCTCTGGGTGTTTACTTGGGGACACAAGTGGGAGAGATTTGTCCCAACTGCCGGCTGGCCGGGATATAGGAAAACTTCCAGCTCTACAATCTAATGTAAACTTCTAATCCTTGAAAGTTATTATTACAAACTGTTTAGGATAATAGAAATACAGGTTAGTAGTTAGTCACCTATAACAATCAAACTTGTAGTCATGTTAGGTATGTTTTCATAAATGGGTTAATTTAAGTTGTAAGAGCTAGTTAGAAACAAGCCTAGGCTATCAGCTGAGCTTTCATAATTAATAAGAAGTCTCTGTGTCATTTATTTGGGAGATGGCTGGTGGGGCAGAGAAAGACTAGCAACATAAACTTAATGAGGAAAAGGTCTATTTTGTCACACAGTCCATGGTCACTGAATTCCATCATTTTGGGCCTGTGGTGACACAGAACACTGCGGCAGGAAGGTGCAGTGTAGAAGATCCATGCATCTATGCAAACAAAGCAGCTAAAAGAGACAGAGGGGCCACAATGCCTACCTCTAGCTAAGCAGCCAACAGCCATTGCCACAGCTGCCTGGTGTCTCACCTGAAAGTTCTACCATCTCCCAGCTATGTTACAGGCTGGGGACCAAGCCATCAACACCTGCACCTCTGGAGTGAAGACAACAATAGCCTAATGATACAAAGGTCCTGTGACCTCAATTTTACAGATTAGAGAACAGAAAGTGTTAAGAATGGCTCAGAACTATGACAGAGCAAGAAGCAGAACCACAATCGAAACTAAACAATTTAACAAACTAAAACTCAGAGTAACATACAGAGTCCAGACAAATCCTTACCAAAAAATGATGAACACAGGGCAAGAGTACAATGTCTGCCAAAGTGAAGTACAGTCCTTCTGCAAACACGTGCTCCAGAGGCGGAAGGTCAGAGGCTTTTGCTTTCCTGATGTGAGAAGGCTCCTTCTTGGCAGCAGCTGGATCCTGCACTGTGAGCTTTGAGAATGCCACCTCCAGTTCTAGACTCTTGGATGAGCCAGCCAACTCTTTGGATGGTTGCTGTGCATCGGTCTGGCTCTTTGCTTTCCCCTTAGCAGTCTTCTGTTGCTTCAGCTTCTGTCTGCGGAGTTTGTCATCATTGTGTACTCTGACAGGCTCGCTGAGTTTTCTCTCAAGCTGTAGGATTTCTTCAGGAATAGTTGGGGGCTGGTCAGAAGACTTTTTGAGAAAATTCTCCACAGCCAAAGGGATGGTGAGTTCACACAGCCTGGTCCACTGACTAACCTATAAAACAAACAAGAGGTGAGCCATTCTCTCCTCTCCACATATCCTGAAGAAAAATTAGCTGTTACTGGGAAATACGAGTGATTTAGAGCTGGAGAGATGGCTCAGCTGTTAAAGGCTAGGCCTACAACCAAAAATTTAAGAGTGGTTTAAATAATTTAGGTGATGGGCTAAAGAATCCTTGGGCTTAGCTCCTATGCTAGATGGGAAAACATACTACAATGCTTCAAACATGAACACCTTTTGTACTCCTGCAGCCTCTTACTGAGTAAGTCCTTACCTCCCATGGTTTTGAATGAGAAGACACTCATGCATTTCAACACTTGGGCCACAGTTTGGTGGAACTGTTTGGGAAGGATTAGGAACACACCTTGTTGGAGGTGTGATAGGCCTGACCATGCTGTTTTTTTTCAAGATTGTGAAAGACTTTGGACTAGGAAAGCAGCTGAATGCGCTCTAAGACAGGCTTCATGGGCCATCCTAGTAGGAGCTTGCAAGACAATAGTGCTGAAAAAGTGCAGGCTATGGAGGCCCCAGCTCAAGAGGGTTCAGAGGGAAACAATATTATTAGCAAATGGGCTAGAGGCCATTCTTGTGATACTTTGGCAAAGAAATGTGCTGCTTTTTGCCTGCGTCCTAAGAATCTGCCTGAGGATAAATGAAAAAGTAATGAATTAATTTCCTTGGCTGAGGAGATTTCAAGAAAGCCTAACACTGACTCTGTCCCATGGTTATTAGTATCACTCTTACATAGATCTAAAGTGAAAAAGAATAAGTGAGACAAAAAGAAATACAAAATGTACAGCAGGAAGGGGAAAGAGCACCAGGAAATTTAACAATTTAACTTTGGAGCCAAGGCTTGTTTGTGCTCAATAAGATAAGGACAGACCCAATGCAAAATGAAATAAAAGGAGGGGTACCCTCAGGACAAGAGCCCATCCAGTTAAGCTTCCAACTTGTAGAAGGAAAAAAATTTTTTTTTTTTTGGTTTTTCGAGACAGGGTTTCTCTGTGTAGCTTCGAGCTTTTCCTGGAACTCACTTGGTAGCCCAGGCTGGCCTCGAACTCACAGAGATCCGCCTGGCTCTGCCTCCCGAGTGCTGGGATTAAAGGCGTGCGCCACCACCGCCCGGCAGAAGGAAAATTCTTGAGGGATTTTTCTGCTTCTAAAAAGCAACAACAAAGGAAGCTTCTACAAATGTAATTCAAGGAGGGAGCCACACTACACCCCAAGTGGCCAGCATATGGTCTGGCTTTAGAGTTATGAAGGAGATAAAAATTAAGGGATTGAAAAACCTTCCTTTATGGTTAAGGAGAGCTGCTGAGGCCAGGTGTATGGCAGAAAAGTCTCTGTATGGAAGCCTCAAAAGGCCAGTGCATAAAGCCGGGAAGGTGAAGACTGGATTGTGCTGGAGACTCCAGGATGTTGGAGTTACCAGAGCCTTGAGCCACCTGTCAAGGCAAGCTGCAGATGGGATGAGACCAGCCAAGAGAAAGAAGTGTGTTGCCATCAGCTGGTGGAGCCGTCTGAGCCCTCTGGCCTCAGACATGGAGCTAGAGTATCCAGAGCTGGCCCTTCAGGGTTTCAGTCTTGCAGTGGTCCAGTGTTTCCTCACTCTCTCTTGGAATGGTAATATAAATTCTGTCACTGAATGTTGGAAGTCCATAATTTGCCTTTTGATTTTACACGGGTTACAATGAAAAGACGGCCTTAAGTGAAGAAGGAACTCCGGACTCTGAAACAGTATTGCGACTGTGGAAGATGTGGGGATTCCTGAAGTCTGACTGAATGCCTTCTTCTTTATATGGCCAAGCCCGTGGGGCTAAGAAGTAGAATGTGGTGGTTTAAGTGAGAATGAGCCGGCAGGCACGTGTATTTGAATACTCGTCCCCAGTAGGTGGAACTGTCTGGGAAGGCTTAGGAGGTGTCCCTCGTTGGAGGAAATGTGGCTCTGTGGAGCAGTTTTGAGTTTTCAAAAGACTCAAACCATTTCCCATAAGTTCTCTGCCGTGAGGTTGTGTCTGAAGATGCGAGCTCTCGGCTACTGTTTCAGCACCACCCTACCAGCTTCTCTGCTCTCTGCCATGATGGTCATAAACTCTAGCCCCCTGAATCTATAATCCCCAAATAAACTCTTTCTTCTATAAGTCGCCTTGGGCATGGTGTCTTAACACAACAACCGAAAAGTAACTAAGGCACTCAAAAAGCCTTTAAAACTCCTTAGATATTACAAGGCGCTACAACTTGAACTCTTACAAATGTATGAACATTTCTTTTAAAGTCCTCAGTATAAGAAAGGAGGGGAAAACATTATTTCAAAACAATGTATCTAAACTTCATAAAGTACATCTTAAATTCTTATTGTTTTTTATTGCCCTGTCATGACAACATACGTAAAAGACTCTTAACTATCCAATAGTCACCAACGGGAAGTTAAGATCATGTTGGAGTGAATGTTATTACTTATAGCTTTAAGTAAGAGAGGAGACCATATACTTACTTCAGCACAGGCTTTCAAACAAGTCTTTTTAAAACCCAGAAGTTCCAAAATCTCCTTTCTCGAGGGCTCAGCTTCATAGGATTTCTGGATTATGTGTCTGAGGACAACAGCAAGTCCTGCTCTACAGAAAACGTCTGGTTGTTCCACCACTGCCGGCAAACAGCAATTCTGGACTATGGGTGGGAGCGCCTGCCTTGAAATAACGTGTATGTCCAGATCCTGGGGCAGTGCCTCTCTGGGGAGAGAAGCGTCTGCATTTTCCTCGGTAAGGACCAAGCAAACATTAAAGACCTCGCAGTCACAGTAGGACAATAAGAACAGAGTTACAGACGTATGGAGAGGAAAGATGCATCCCTCTGCTTGGTGAGAGAACTCCAGGTACAGGCACTCTGCTGTAGGACTTTTCTTAGTGCCTTTCATTTTGTTTTCATTGGGTCACCTGTAACAAAAATTGAAGGTTATAGGCCTTCAAATATATATAACAATTTAGAAACTAAAAGATGAGTGTTTTTCAAAAAATCAGTAAGAATTTGTATCTAAGAATTTTTACTTCAAGGATGAATGGCTTTAAAAAGAAAACTTCCCCCCACTCTGCCTGATTAAACATTTTTAGTGATGATTTTAAGATGAGTAACCTTGGTGCTTTGTATTGGAAGCACTGTTCGTACTCTTGTACAGCCCCTCCCCCAGCCAATCTTTTCTGGATCTATCTGTAGTATAAATACAGAATTATTTCACAGCATTTCCACTGCTTCTCAGTCACTCTCACTTCTAAATTATATCAACTGCCTCCACCTCCCATCCCCAACCTCAGCTTATTCTGTTAAGATTGAAGTTCTGCCACTCAGCTTAAGTGCTATAGTATCTTTCCATCCTACTGAAATAAGTCAGACCTTTTACAGTGCCCTACACAGACTTTGATGTAATCATTTTGCCTCTTAAGTTTATCTCATTTTTTTTTCATTGCTTACTGCTTCCCCAAAAGTGAATTAAAATTCTCCCAAACTCTGTCTATACTCCAACTTCAAAATCTTCATACTTGGGGTTTCCAGAACACAGAATTCTGCTCCAGGTATTTAATAATAGGTAGCATCTTGGATGCTAAGATGTTCTTTGGCTCCTTTTTATATTATAAACCCCAATCTACACACTCCTTTTACTTTGCTTTCTATGCTTTAATTTCCTCCACAGCACTTAGCACCATATAATACACTATTTATTCAATGTTATTTGTCTATTAGACTATTAGAATATTTTGTTAACTATTAAAAATAGAGCCTGCTAAACATTTGTATGTAAAAGGATTTGCTGAAGGAATACATGTATGAGTATACACACTGGTTGCTTTAAAGATGTATATCTTGAGGTCAAATTATTTAAGGCTTTTGTCAATTATGACTTTTTGCATTTGAGTTAACCACATTCTAATCCATAAACCACAATTCAAAAACTGACACTAGATGGCACTCTTTAAAAGCATTTAGAAGTATGTAACCAGAGGATGTAGTAGAGAAAAAAAAATATGTGTGCATGTGCACATGTGTGTGTGTGGGGGGGGTTGCGGGGGTGGTGGTGGTGGTGGTGATGGTGGTGGTGGTGGTGGTGCATATGCCTTTGTAGAAAGGTACAAAAGAACCATGAAAAAGGCATTTTGCATATAAGCTATAAACTTGATTCACTGTGAGTACTTATTAATGTTAAATATCAACAAAATAAAATAGAATACTTTCCCATGATGAAATCAGAAAAATTAATGAGCTGTCCAAGAGAAAAAGCAAAGTTCAATTGATTTTTTAGTGCTTTTTTCAATATAGATATTAGTGGAGGTTTTTTCCTTCCCCCTTGGAGATCAAAATGTTGGTTAATAATTGTGGAGTTAAAAAAAAATTACTCTCTTGGGCAATTTCTCATTACTCACTAGTATAATAGTTAAAAATCAAACATTTAATAAACCTGGGGGGTGTTTTGGTTTGCACTGTTTTTAGGAGTAGAACATAGTTTTGGCTTAAAGTTTATAAATATCATAGGCAAAAAGAAATTCCTTTTCCCCTTCTTTTTCTGCTTTGACAGTTCCCTAGTTACATCATGAACTTTATGACAGACACGCAAGAGTCAATTTCAGGATCCCCGAGGTTTCCAGAGCACAGCTTGCACTGACCCTTATTAGATTTTTGTCTAGCACAGACCTGTCACTGCTCTTTCTCAATCCTGGCATATGCCACACCGCAGTCACTGAAAGGACATGATAAAACAGCAGACAAAAACCTAAGCTTCGGGAGCTGAGCACAACCAATGGAATATGCATCCATCTCTTATGTCAACACCACTGGGAATCTGCAGGAAGAATAAATAGGCTAAAAGAAAATATTGACGATTCAGTCTCATTACATAGAAATCTTTGAGGATATATTTAAAAATGGTTGTGTTAAATCATAGGTACAATACTTAGACATTTAGACATTTTAATTCTAAATAATATATCTCGGCTTAGACAAAATATTTCATATGCTGCTAGGCTTGGTGACACATGCCTTTAAGGCAGAGGAAACAGATCCCTGTGAGTTCAAGGTCAGCCTGATCTACATATGGAAGTTCTGAAAGCCAAGATTATATAGAGAAAACCTGCCTTTAAAAAAAATGTTTTAAATTTTTTAATACTCCACCCCATTTATGTTCTGTGTGCAGATGTCTAAGGATGAGGAGAGGGAGGGAGAGGAGGAGGAGGAGAAGAGAGAGAAAGAGAGAGAATATAAAGAAAAAATTAAAAATAAACATACTTCTCTAACAGCCAGAATTTTAAAAATCAATTTGAATGTTTTGTGTTCAAAAGTCAAAAATTCAAGTCAGGCTCTTTGGCAATTCAATATTACAGAATAAATGATGCTCTATATGACAGACCAAAAAATTATGTTATTCAGCAAGATATCAGTCAGTGTTCTGTTTGTTTTAGTTTTTTTTTAATTAAAAAAATATTAGTTAGGCATTGTGCACACACCTTTAATCTCAGCACTCAGGAGGCAGAGGCAGGAAGACCTCTGTGAGTTCAAGGCCAGCCCGGTCTATACAGTCAGTCCCAGGACAGCCAGGACTACAGAGAGAACCTGTCTCAAAAAACTAAAGTATGAACTGAAACTGAAGGGATCTATTTTGAAAATATTCAGAATTTTTTTTTAGAATAAATACTATTGGTATACTTATTAAGTGGAGGCAGAAGAATCAGTTCAAAGTCATCCTAAAATACATAGCCAGTTTGTGTTCAGCCTGTGTTACATAAGAATCTGTCTCAAAACCCCAAAATTTTAGAAAACATTAATACTGTAAGATTATAGTATAAATAAAAGCATATTTTATTATAGGGGCAATCTTACCAACCTGAAAATTATTAAAATATTTCCATCAAGGATGCCAACCTCCTAATTCTTAATAAAAAAAACTCCATTTCAAAGTTGTTTATTTGACATTTTTAAAGACTAGATACAATTCCTTGTCAGTTGCTTCCTGATTCCATTTGCTGGATATTCTTTAGATGGCTCAAGGGTTCATAGCTCAAATTCTAATTACACAGGAAGATCACAAGTTTGAAGCCAGCTTGGACTACATGGTGAATTCAAAGCTAGCTTGGGAAACTTAGGGAGGCCCTGTTTCAAAATCAGAAGGCTAAGAGGTAGTTCAGTGGGAGAGCGCTGGCCTAGTAATCTCTAGTACCAGAAAAAGCAACAGCAAAACCTTTAATAATATCATGAATACTCTATTACACTGAATAAATCTGATTTTATACTGTTTTTCCCCTTTCCTTTTAAATTATAGCTGTTGACTAATTTCATGACCCATTATCAGTACAGAAGTCTGTTGTGTGATATTTTGATCGCATTCTGACAATCAAGTTTGTTTTGAATCAGAGGGCAGAGCTAGCCACTAGCTGACCAAAATTAACCACACAGGCTTTGGAGGACAGAGGTAGTAGTAAGGCGGGGCTTGGAGAGGATCTTGGCCCTTTTGGAGGAAGGAACTCAAGAGGTAGGAGGTTACTGGTGGCTTCTCCAAAGCTTCTCTGATCATTCAGGTTCTTACCCCAATATCTGACTCCCGAATTTTGATTGATAAAGCATAATTAGTTAAATGCTTCAGAAGTCACATTTTCACAGCACCATTCTGTGTGATCTCAGTGCCAGTAGCCTTAAGTACTATCTGACTCCTACATTTACGTCAGGCACATCTTGCCTCAGCTCCAGGCTCCTTGACATTTCAACTAGATCTTTTTCTAAGTTTGTTCCTTTTCTTTACCCGCCCCGTTGTTGATCAAACAGCAACACTATTCAGCTACCGCAAAGGCGGAAGCTCCACTTAAATGCCTGTACCTCTCCTCTCTTGCTATCTCCTTTGAAGCAGAACCAGATCTAGTTCCTCAGCATCTCCTACTGCCACTTGAACGGAGGTCATCACCAGCTCTTACAGGATGTAAAGCATCTTGTTCCCCGACAAGTCTATTATCCAACAATCATCTTTAAAAACAGGTCTCCCGCACAATGTGACCCAGGAGTCCCTCAGCACACTTAGAATAAACAGTGTGGATCCAATGTGATGCCCTCTTTATTGTCTGATTTCATTCACATCCTTCTCACTCCTTTCACCCACACTTCTTCCTGTTCTTCAGAGGTCTGATGCTCCTACCTGAGAATTTTTGTGTTTAGCTGTTCATCTTCCCTTCCTCACGCCACTGATTTCTCTAGCATGTATCATCTCGACTTCCCTGACCACAGAATCGCAAACACACTCCCATCACTCCTTAGCTCCTTGTCCAGCATTCTTCCCCTTGTTAGTGTATCACATGACACCCTCAATGATTAATAATGCTCAAGTTTTAGTTCATGAGATGAATAAAGATGACTGAATACACAAATGATTGCCAACGATCCATACAAGAATAACTACTGAAGCCCTCAGTCTGATACATTAGCCTCACTTACTGACACCATTTCCTCTTCCAATTTAGTCTACTTTAAAGACTAAGTGTAAGTAAAAATGAAGAAACACGTTCACCTACAAGAGCTGACGCAGGATGGGTATAACCGGAGTCTATCCAAACATGTGAACAAGCAAACAAAGACATAAATACTGATATTCAGACAGAAAAACTCCTAACCTCAACTACTAAGGTGTCTACACATGTCTAGTGATGGGTAAAAGCTGAGACTCTTGGACATATTTACTGGACTTAAATACTGGTTCTGATCCTTAGGAGCTAGGAAACTTTCTTTCGTCTTAGTTTTCTGTTATGAAATGAGGAATGTCATAACAGAACCTTCCATACGGTATGCTCTGTCAATGGACAATGATGGCTACGTAAGAAGCCCCTAACTAAATGCTAGCTACTTTATTGTTTTAAGCAGTGCTACAGATCAAACCCCGAGCCTCCCATGTGGGAGGTAAGCACTCAGCCACTGAGTTACACCTCAGCCTCTACTATTCATTATCATTTATTCACAAATTCTTTACCTACTGACACTATTAAAGTGCAAAATTTTTAATGGGGAAAATTTACCTTATGCTTCTTATTTCCAAATTTCTCCCCAGGAAATGTATGGACTATGTTGAACTGAAAAGTGTTTTTCCACAAACATTGAAAATTTGGTACTGAGGTTTAAAACCAAGGAGTCATAAAATGGTGGAAGATAAATGGAGAATTCTTAAGTCAACATACATATTAGCAGACTGTATTATACAAAATAAAGTTTGACATAGTTAAGTACAAACATTTGCATATTTCTCTCCAATACTGAAATGTTTATACCTACTCAAATTCTCTCCATCAGAGAATGTTCAATATATTGAACAGAGAACTTAGGTTATGTTTTAGATTTCTGACAAAGCAGTACTATTCAGTTACAAGCCCCACTGTACTCTATTACAGATTTTTTTAAAATGCTCTCCACAGATAAAGAGCCAACTGCACCTAATTAAAAGTCAAAAAAAAAAAAAAGGAAAGAAAAAAGAAATGCAGCTTTTAGAGTTCATTATATTATGTAATGTAGGATGATAGTTCTGAGGCAATTAGCCCATGATTAAAATTAGCTTTTTTCTTACTAGGGCAAGAAATTTTTATGAAATAAGTGAAGTGGGGAAGTGAAATGCTTACTGAAATCTTAGTTACAGAAGAAGTATATAATCTCTCTGGAGATTCAAAGAATTGTCCGTTGCTATGGAGTCATAATGCTTGCAGCTAAATCTGACCTGTGGTTAACACAGATTGACAGCATGAAAATGTAAATATGTTGAAAGTATCAGCAAGCCTGAAAAAAAAAAATACTGAATTATCTCAGCAAACAATACTGATTTTATGATACAAAGTTTAAACTCCTGCATCCCAAGATGTGATCCTAGCAGAATCCAGTAAGTTACTTTGAATCAAAGGCTAAAAACAACATATACTCGGTAACTGTCTACACTACAGATTGTCACCTGTTTAGTCCCAGAAGTTTTAATGTCTGCTACATTATTGCTATTGGTAAGAGCAAATGGAGTATTGTTTGTGATGATTTCAAACCATGTGTTGCTGAAAGAAAAACTAGAGAGAATAACAGGTTTAAAACCAATCTTCATAGGTTCACAACCATTGTTTAAAGTGAGCAAATACACAGACGTGTTCTTTCTACTTCTCCCCTTCCCCGTGTATCCTATCCTTTCTACTTCTCCCCTTCCACTGCATCCTATCGCCCCTTCCTTGAAAGCCCATCTCTCCATGGTCTCTTACTAATTTAAAGGTGTGCTGTTGTTGTTGTTGTTTTTAATTAGTAACATAAAACAATGTTCAAACTTCAATCTTATTTTTGAGGTTTGGCCTCTTAAAATGAAGCCCTCAGGCGCAACTGAAATACAAATAACGAGAATACTTTAGGCAATCACTGTCGTAGTGTATGCTCCCACAATGCAATTATAAAAAATAAAAAAAAACCAAACACCTCATACAGCTTAATTTTTAGATCTAGTAAATGACAGCAAATCAGTTGTTGTATTATAAGTTTATTCTCATGGCATTTTAATGACCATATTTACATGTTTAATATTATCACTAGTTCTTGCTAGTTTTTGTAGTCTTTCCTCTAAACACTCTTTCTGTTGAAAAGCCCAAAAGAAAAAAAGAAACTTGACAAACGCCTCATTCTTTAGCAATAATTTGGTAGGAGATACATTAATGTATCTTTTCTGATCTTAAGGAGTTTATGACAAGGAATTTAGGGGTGGACATGGGGGGGAAGGAGGGAGAGGGTCACGTAATTCCCAAACCAAGCAAAGTTGGGGCGGTATGCGTTTGAGCAGTCCTTTTTTGAAATCAAAGCAATTTTCATGCAAGCTCATCTCAAGTGTTCTGCTCAAGCTAATAACCGAAGAGAAACGCTGCTCTGATGGGGGATAATATAAGCGAAGGGTCCCCCAGATGTAGCAAATCCGTTGGAGTAACCGTGAAACAGTATCCACCTGCAGCGTCCAATCAGGATGGGCTGCAACGGAAAACTCTTGGGGAAAAGTTAGCGTGTGCTCCCAAGAGGTCTTCCCCCGGCGCCTAACTGCAAACGACCACCCCAAACCCCTACACCACGCAAAGCTGCCCTGTTCCTTTACCCGCGCAGGAGGACCGGAGGGTTGGCTCGCAGCAGCGGAGCGCTCGCCCACGCGTCACTCGGCGGCGAATGCGGGGCCGGGAAGACTTCCGCCGGCTGCGAGCCCTCGCCGGTCCTGCCGCGCCCCCGAGCTCAGCCCCGGCGACCCCTGAGCGACCGCGCGGTCCTCAGGGGCCCCGAGCGCCCTCTTTACCTGGTCGCAGGGGCGCGGCCAGGCAGGGAGGGCGCGAGAGCGTGCGGGCGACGCGGGCCACCGCGCCTTCCCGCCCAGCCCGAGCCGGGATTCCGGAGCTACCGCTGGAAGCCGCGGCCGGAGGAGCGCTCGCCTCCAGTGAGGCCCCGGGGGTGCGGGAGAGAAACAGAAACAAGCAAGAAGCAAGGTGTCCGGGAAGCCCCCCGCCCCTCGCCATTCATAATCCGGCGGACCGGAAAAGGCTCAGCGTCACTTCCTGCTGTCTCACTAGGAAACGCTCCCCTCCCGACCGGTTGCGGGAACCTTTGTGTCTCGCCTCTGATGCCGGTTAGGGCGGGGACGGGTTCGAAAAGAGCTGCCGGGAACGGACAGAGTGGCGGGGCGGAGCGGTGAGTTGTGACGAGGGCCCCCCCGCTTCCTGGCGCCTCGGGGAGGCTCGAGACCCCGCGAGGGGCGGCCGGAGTGGAGCTCCGTAGGGTGTTGGTCTCCTCCCTGCTGGAGGGGAAAACCTCATAATTTGCGGGCAGTTGCGTGCTACAGCCTAACCGCTCCTCCTCTTCTGTAAGGGTTGCGTCCGAGGGTGCTGGGGACTGGGGACATGGCCCCTGGGGACTGGGTCCGTGGATCTGTCGTAGACCTTTGTCACAGGGTTCCGGAGACCTCTCTGCAGCTCTCGGTTTCCATCTCATTGTCTGGCTTCCTTGTCAAGGACGTTTCCCTGTGAAAGGCCACCCGTGTGTTTGGATCTCATCAAAGGATTCTCATTCCTAAGTGTCCTCCGTCTCTTTTCAGATTCTCCTGCGCTTAGTTTGTTTTGGAATTGGGCTTTTTATGCTCTGCTCCAGACTTACCCTAGGGCCAAGTACTAAATGGAAGGATGAAAAGGGCAGCATCTTAAAAAAAAAAAATTATTGTAAAGGAATGGATTTTTTTTTCAATGTTATGAGATGGTAATCCTAGTATTGCACCGTCGAGAATAATCAGTTTCCTTTATCTCATGCACAAGCAAGTGATCAACTTTGAACTTTGTTTGAAACTAGCAGGCAGGATGAAAGGGACCCAAAGGAAAGCATATATTTAGCTAAGGATGTTTAATTTTGTTTGGGGACATCACAGAAACCTTGAAAAATGACATTTTAGCAAAAATCTAGTTCATCCAATAGATATTTAAAAGCAGCTGTTAAATTCTAATTGCTAGGGAAATAACTACATCCCCCACCACACACACACACACCCACACCTGCTCTCACAGAAGCAATATGCTAGTGAGATTAATGAATTAAAGACTATGAAAGAATAGAAAGTGAATGTTTCAGATCAGAAGACTGTACATACTCCTACCAATAAATAGATGCTTGTTTTGAGTTTTGGTTTTGTTGGGAGGAAAAGACATTTGAATTTCTTTAATGCCTTTTGCTGAAGTGAACGGAATTGCGTAGAGTTAAAGAGAACATTAGACTTTGCTTTGATGAGTTAACCAAATAACAGTGTAGCCATTGTTTTAAGAGTAACATAGAAATAAGAGAAACAAGGAATTTGGGCTTAAGAAAATGAGAGAAAACCATAAGGAATCCTCTGCCTAGAAATGGTATTTGATAACAAAATGTGTATGATTGCTGAAGAGCAAATTGGTAGCAAAATTGAAGCAGGAAGCCCAGGACAGACAGTTGGGGCAGTAATAAGAACAGCAGGAATGAGATGAGCCAGGGAGAGAATAGTCAGAAATGGGGAAAAAAATTAAAGTTAAATATAATAATGCAAAGAAAATTTTATAACATACAAAGTCCTATTAATGTATTTACTTGGTCTTAAAATAAGGAATGTTGCTGAGCGGTGGTGACACGCTTTTAATCCTAGCACTTGGGAGGCAGAGGCAGGTGGATTTCTGTGAGTTCGAGGCCAGCCTGATCTACAGAGCTAGTTCTAGGATAGCCAGCTCTGTTACACAGAGAAACCCTGTTTCAAAAAAAGTAAACAAAACCGGAATGTGACTCCACCAAAGTGATAATAGCCAGAGATAGAAAGTAACTTGTAAAGGGAAAGCTAGACTTAAAACTGATGAGGAGAAATAAGGGTACAAGTAGCCCCACTGGGTCATGTTCAATAGGGTGCCTCAGGAAGACAGCCAGGTTAAACTTGCTGTTAGCTCTTATGGGAGGGGTGACTGAAGAGAAGCATGGGCTTGAAAGTGAAGTTTATGATCACTGGCAAAAAAGCAGATTTTCTGGAGCAGCAGTTCTCAAATTGCAAAATAAATTGGGATTGCCCAAGTGGTTTGACCAGATTGTCAGGCTTTACCCCAGAGGTTTTCTTCTGTAAGTTAGGAAGTGGAAACCAAGAATTTGCACTTCTAACATTTTTGCAGGGGATGCCTGTGCAGCTGTGCTGTTGATCCCAAAGACAGATTTGAAAGAGGGTGTATCGTGTAATCAAAAGATACCCAGAACCTATTTCTGAATATCTTGTTTGTAACCCATGTAGGGAAAATCTACAGAGACTGAGAACTGAGTAGAAGGGAAAATAGTATATTTCAGATTTCCCTATGACCAAATTAGCCATGGTAAGATTATTTTCATAGAATTATGGGAAGAAGACCCTATTGTATGAATTGAAACATTAATTAGAAAGGAACACAGAAAATATGAAAAGTAGGTGATATTTAGGGAAGTCTTGCCACAAAAAAAGACAGAATAAGAAAGGAGTAATATCAGTGTAAGATGCCAGGTGGAGGAAGGCTTGAGAATAAGATATTTCAAATAACCCAAAGTGTAAGATTCTGGAGAGCACAGGAAAAGATAGGGTCCATGTCCAACCAACATTACTTAGAGAGCCATTTCTCACTATTTTTTTAATCAAGTGGAAAAAGAGAAAAGGATAAGTGCATGTAGTTTTAAAGAAAAAGTGTAATTGCTGGTTCGAGAAAGAAGGGAAGTAAATTGACCAAACAAGCATGGCAAGAGTGCTAAGTGTGATGCATGCCATTACTGGACTAGTCACCTGGAAGAGGGTGTGGTATTTTTTTTTTTTCAGCTGCATTTAGTTGGGATGTAGATGGGAGAAGATGCCAAATGGATGCATGTCTACAAAGTAGTGAAATCATGGATCATTAGGATAAGGATGCTTAGAACTGAGAGAGAGACATTGAAAGGCTTGTCCTAGAATAGAAGCTGAACAGGAAAGAAATAGCATGCTCCCCATGAACAAAGGCGGTGCGGGGGTCCTTGTATAGTGATGGAAGTTCTTGTGTGACTTACGTTTGGACAGATAATTCCTAGTATGACCTAACCATTCACTCCCACCAACATCATCACTACCACTTCACTAGGTCATTGCTTGTTTTAAAGTAATAAATGTTGATTTTCTTACATTTCTTTGTTTTAAACAACACTTAGATTTTGAAAATAAATGCACACTTACCATATTCTTTCATCTGTCTTCCTGTTCTGTATTTACACGCACATAACTTACGCTACCCACTACTTCTGTTGGTCTGAGAAAGAAGTTGGAGCAAGACAGTGTCAATAAAGAAGCAGCACAAGGGACACATGGAGCCACTGTAAATTCAGAAAACATACGATGTGGGAGTAAAGAAAAGGGGGGGATTAACAAAGAAAAAAGCTTGGCTTGGTACCCAGAATATGTTCTTAAGATCATGGAAAAGAGAAAATAATGGAAGATGTAATTTTAAACGGAGCGGGGGATGTTGATTGTAGTCAAAAAGAATAGGTGGGTTAAACTTTACATTCCACTGGCTGAAGATGATGCTCTTACTGCTAAAGAACTAAATAAAATTGTTTGTAAAAAGTCTGAGAGGATCATAGTATATGCTGAGTGAAAGGTAATGACAGGGAGAGAGGAGGAAGAGCCTGGCGCTACTGTTGTGTAATTAGAGCGGGAAGGTGCAAGTGAGAGGTTGGTAAATGGGGTCGTGGAAATTGTTTCTAAAATCATCGGGACAGAAGGGGCTCCTATAACCACCTTTACAGCCTTTTAGATGGAACAAGTCAGTGAGCACTGCCTTGTAGGAGGCTATAAAAAGGTGATATTGTTAGTGAGAATGGTAAAGACAGAAAGTGCATGAGGAAAAAGTAGAAATGTAGGGGAATGCGTTATTAATGGGTGGGACTGATAATAAAGTTAGTTTGGGAAGGGAGAAGGGCTACGCTGAATGAAAACACTGCATGGATTTGCAGAGTGATTTGCACTTTAAATAAGTCATGTTATATAAGAAGAAAAGGGAAGTTGGAAATTGCAAGATAGCTTACAACAGTGGACTCCAAGCCTTTCTAATTCCATGAGATTAAAAACTGAGCATACTTGCATATCCACCCACCACATTCCACCATGTGCACCAGTGAGTTTGAAAGAAACATCAGTAATTTATGCCAGGGGTGCAAAGCATATCAAGTCTTTTATAAAATAGAACTGACTCTAAGGTTTCCTTTAGAGTATTGATGTTGACAGTTTCTGTAGGCTTACACCAAGGGTCACCTCATCTATAGGCATTTCATTTGTGATGACAGACGTAACAATACTTTGCTTCCCTTTTTCAGAAAATAAAGTAGAGCTTCTGTCACAAAAATTTGTCTAGGTATTGGCTCTTTGCTCAGTATCCTGTAAAACAGACTGTCCTGAGTTAAATAAACTAGTATGTCTGTATAAATTAGGTCATAGATTAGACTGTGTTTATCTTGTAGAATCTGGAACAACAGGTTTATCTCTTTTATCATGGAAATTATTTTAAACTATGTTTCCTCAGTATTAGTGAATATGATGCTCAGCCTCATAAGAATATTTTAAAATAATCATCCTGAACCCATCATTCTTTGGAGATGATATATGTAATATAATATAAAGCATCAATAGAGCCTATTCTGTTTGTTAAATTCTTACT